ATTAGAGGCTTATTGAAAAAAACTATAAAATGGAAACACTTTTTTTTTTGTCATGTACAATCTTACAGTACTGTACTATACTTTGAAAAACTGCAAAAGAGCGAGTCCACAAAAGTTGAACTACTTAGTAGCGAGGGACTACTGTATTAGCTTACGGAAATGTGTGGTTATATGTATTTATTTATTTATTTATTTATTTATTTATTTATTTTTTTTATAATTTTTTTTTTTTTAAATAGTATGATATGTTAAAACAAGGTAGATCTGATTTCCGGTTTCGTTTCTGGCAGAAATTTTAGTTTTTAGTTCCACGTCTACAAATCCCAAAAGCCGCTCATCCACCATTTTGGAACACAAGATGGTGAGGTTTCATTGGCTGAGAGCTGTCACATGAAGTAGAGTAGGGTCTCCTATTCATCGACGGTGATTCCTCCTGGGAGGTGTGGCCAAGCTCTGAAAAAAATGTGTGGTTGACGGATGCGCTGCGCCTTTACTGTGACCACATGGCGGAGGCGGTAGTGGCCCAGCGCTGTTGATTTTTGTACCTTACGTGTGGGTAAAATAAACCTTCTGAAATGGACGATCACCTCTCCCAAGCCTGCTTCAGACAAATGAACATATTTTACAAATGGCAGGTCAGGGATTCAGCCCAAGCTGGACAGTGCAACAAAAAACAAGCAAATTTACCATGAGATGTGCAGCATGGCTACACCTGAACCTTTAAGCAGTGCCGGGATAAGCTCAAGGAATTGAAGTCCAATTTACTTTACGATCCCGCTCACAGAGCGTGGACACAAGTTACAGTGTTAATTCACCTACACCTGGGAAGAACTGATAAGATGAGAACTGAAACGAGTCAAACTTATCAATGACAAAGCAGCTTTAGTCTCTCCAGTATGTCCTGAGTCTTTCCCGGAGTCTCCTCCCAGTTGGACATGTCCAGGACATTTCCCTAGGGAGGCGTCCAGGGTCCATCCTTACCAGATGTCTGAACCTCCTCATCTAACACCTCTGGATGTGGAGGAGCAGCGGTTCTACTCCGAGTCTCTCCTGGAGAACTGAACTTCTCACCTAATCTCTAAGGGAGAGTCCAGCTACCCTGCAGATAGAACTCGTTTAGACCTCCTGGATCCAGGATCTGGTTCTTTCGTTCTCTACCTTCAGGACCAGAGGTGAGGGTAGGAACATAGACCGACCAGTAAACAGAGAGCTTTGCCTTACAGCTCAGCGCCCTCTTCACCAAAACAGACCAGCACAGAGTCCACAATACTGCAGAAGCTGCACCGATCTGTCTGTAAATCTCTCGCTCCATTCTTCCCTCACTGAGAACAAAACCCCGAGATACTTAACTCTTCCACTTGAGGCAGAACCTTAACCTGGAGAGGACAGTCCACCCTCTGATTCAGGACCAGGGCCTCAGATTTGGAGGTTCTGATCCTCATCCTGTGAACCGCTCCAGTGAGAAATGAAATTGACGACACGATTCTTTTAACTCGCCTGTTGTAGTAAGGTTTGAAGTGGTTAAAAACCACAACATATTCATAGTCCAGTCAGAATAAAAACCTCTACTTTTTCCCAAAACTTCTCAATTTCTCTTTAAAAACCAGCCTGATTTTATTTACTCACAGCAGAAGAAAACCATGACGTTAACGATTAAAACTAGAAAAGCTGCACTGCTTACAATGAATCATATCCCACAGGAATATCACACCAATATCACACGTGTGTGCGTGTTTAGGTTTGTCTTTGATGCATGTTTTCCTTCAGCTTAAACCAGCTTGTGATTGCATTTGAACTGTCATGATGCTCGAATGATAAAAACATAAAGAGAAAATGTTTGTTTTGTGTAAATGAGCTTCTCGTAGTTTCGCTCACCCTGAAGCTGTTGGACGTGAGCTCGCAGATTTAATTGCAAGTAAATAAGCGCCTTGATGAGAGATGAAAGGTTGCTTAGCTACTGATGCACAGCGAGCCTTTCAAGGACCCGACTGCTTGTTGAATATTAAGTTAACGAGAGAAAACAGGATTCACAAAGATAAAGGAGAATCATTGTCCTTTTTTCTCTTGTACTGTCTTTACATATATAAATGGCATTCAAGAAACCTGAAGTGTTTAGTTTTAATAATGTAATTTAGGAATAAAGATGAAGGACATAGATTTACCGTGGACTCCAGGTGTTTGGCAGATGTGTATGGGTGGGTTTAGGTGCCTCCTGCTGGTGGCGTTTCTCTTGATTTAACAGAGAGAAACTTGAAATGTTTCTCACATTAGTTGTAAAACCATTTTATCATGTTTCAGAATAGGATTATATTTGTTTTATTTGAGCCGGTCTTTATACGCGTTAAATAAAATGAGACACCAGTGGAGTGGAAGGAGAAAATCTAGTCTGGATTGGAACTGTTTCTATGATCTATCAACAACATAAGAACAACTAGGCAATACATTTTGTGTTTTTGCACCAGTATCTTTATTTCAACACAAAGCAGGAAATGAAAAATCTAAAAGTTTTAGGCAGCACTCTTCAGGGTGAGTGGAGAGCAGGCGATGACAGCATGTGCATGTAAGAACCGTAAAAAAATAAAATGCTCCATAAGCAGAACAGTGATTGTTAGTCAATTTGACAAACAATTCAGTAATTACTTAGTGTCTATTTAAAAGTTCAACTATATGATACCATACCATACCATACCAATTTATTTATAAAGCACTTTAAACAGTGACAAAGCACACCAAAGTGCTGTACAGGGACAAACAGAACAAGCACACAGCAACAGATTACATAACAGGACACCAAAAAGTAGAAACCGACAAAAACAATAATGGATAACAACAACAACCGCAACATGACTAACACAGTGTGATGCACACATATGATAATCTGATGTCACTGACATGTCTCTTTAAATTTATCCCAGGTCTATGTTTCTGAAATATATTTCTATCAGGCTATATATTATCTAAATTTAATGTGTAATTATTTGTATTCTTTATGTCATTTATATAGCATCTTATATCATATTTTTATGTGTTAAACAAGACGATGCCGATCTTTTGATCCAGAGGGTAACTGTTTCTGGTAGGAAGAATTTTTTAGTTGCACACCTACACTTCTCAACAGACACAGACTTTTGAACCTATGAGAGTAGAAAATTATTCATTGAAAAGCTGGTCACGTGCTTAGAACATTTACATGTTTTTAATTTAATTTTTAATTTAAAATTTTTAAATTCTTTTTTTTTTTTTAAATATCTTGTGTGATTTCTTGTGTATATTCCTTTGTACTGAAACTCTGGTACAACAATTTCTTGCGGGACCAATAAAGTTCTATGTTATCTCTTATCCTATAATACGGTTTCCCCATCAGCTGTGACTCCAGAGGTGTGGCCAGTTTTTGAAGAAAACTGTTTTCCTTTGGAGAAGTGGGGGCCATTCCTCTGTGAAGCAACTCTTCTGGGTCAAAATGACCCCAGAGGCCTCAGGTTTAAAATTATGGCCAGAAGCTTTGCAAGCTTTATTTGCAGAAGCTTGTGCAGCTGGTCTCCTCAGATTATTCGGAGGACCTGAGACTAGATGTTGGAGGTTTTGAAGGAATATTGTCCCATGTATTGTGAATGTGTTGCACTAGTTTTAAGTCATGGTACAGATGAGCCACACCATCGGCATGGATTTTTTACATTTAAAATAACTTATTTTAAATTATTCAGCACCTGTGTGCAGCCCGCAGTTGGGGGAGAAGGTTCCTCCTGCAGCTGATCAGCTGATCTCCATGCAGAGCGAAGAGTGCAGCCGGAGGCGGAGAGCTGGCATCATGACATTCTGTGCTGTTTTAGAGTGTTACATCGTTTAGAAAGAATATTGCAAGAGTGTGGGAAGGGTTTAAAATGCCCCCACCCTCATTCGCCCCACCCTGGGCCCATGAGCAAAGGCCCTTAACCCCCACCATGTGCTCCCTAAACAGGTCTCTCTTGAAAATGAGTTCTCGTGGCTCAATGAGACTAACCTGTATAAATAAAGGCTAAATGAAAAAA